GCTACAGCTACGGCTACTGCTACTGCTACTACGACTACTACCACTACTATTACTACGACGACGACTACTGATACTACCACTACTACCACTACTACCACCACCACTACTACCGCTACTTGCTGGTAGGGGATCCTGTGTTGAGGAACACACTACTCATGGGACAGCATTACTTGAACGAACAATGATGGAGCTTCACGATGAAAAATCACAGCAGCAAGGTCACCAACTTCCCTGGGGCTGCAGTACTCAGTTCTCTTTTGCTCAATGCTATCTGCGCAGTCACCTCGGCGATCGACTTATATCTGTTCTTGAGTCGGATGTTCCTCATTGGAGCAGCACCACCAAATGCGCAGTGCCCTTCCAGATGTCTTGTCGGGGGCAGCACGACTGACGAAATGCCTGACTTTCTTTGCCACACGACATGTCTTCCAACTGGTTGACAAGCGGAGTAAAGGAAAGTCTTCAGGCACTGCTACTGCTACGCTACTGCTACTGCCACTGCTACTGCCACTGCTACTGCTACTGCTACTGCTACCTACCAGCACTACTAGTGTGGTCGTGGCAGTGGCAGTGGTAGCAGTAGCAGTAGCAGTGGCAGTGGCAGTGGCAGTAGCGGTGGCAGTGGTAGCAGTAGCCTTAGCTAAGAAGTAGAAGTAGTAGCAGTAGTAGTAGTAGTAGTAGTAGTAGTAGAAGTAGTAGTGGTTAGTAGCGTAGTAGTAGTAGTAGTAGTAGTAGTAGCAGCAGCACAGTAGTAGTAGTAGTGGTAGCAGTAGCAGTAGCAGCAGTAGTAGTAGTAGTAGAAGTAGTAGTAGCTGTTGTTCTAGTAGTAGTAGTAGTAGTAGTAGTAGTAGTAGTAGCAGTATTACTAGTGGTACTAGTAGTCGTACTGCTAGTAGTACTGGTAGTAGTACGGGTAGTAGTACTGGTAGTAGTCCTGGTAGTCATAGTCGTAGGAGCCGTTCAGTGATATCTTATTAGTGCGATTATGACTATGACCTTTATCATTATTAGTGTTAGTTTTCTGTTATTCTGATTATTTGCCGGCTTCGTTTCGTGGCGAAAAACTCCTGAATTCAGCTCTATTGCTGGCCAATTCTGCAGCCAGCTTTTGGGAACGGTCAGGTTGAACACACCAGGAGCCCCAGACACTAACCGCTATAAGCTGATGCTTCCTGATGCTTCAAATTCCTGTGGCCAGGCTGCCACTAGCTTATCCGATACCAAACTGTTCTAAACCATCACCCGACACATACGAAGCCCATGCCCAGCCTCGCCAATCCTTCGGACATGACATGGGGCACGGCCGCAGGCTCTCGGGGAAGTGACAGCTCATGACCCATGGTCGCTGTACCTTCCGGAGACAAGCGCTCTGCTTACACCCAGTTCAAGTTCCACCAAATGGGATTCTGCACAATTTAAGTATACCTGGACAGCCAGAGCCCAGAACCCCACGCTTGATGGGCCTCCCGTCTCGACATTGTTGGCTCCACCGGACATCAATCAAGATGTAGATCTGCGGAGAGGCGTGTCCGTGAAAGCAGCCCAAGGCAGCTATCTCGCGGTTGACGGCACATTCTATACTACTGCTGCAGATTGACCCTTGCCTGCGGTTGTTCACGGTTACATTGCAGTCACGGCCCGAAATCTTTGCATGCTGCTTCCCCTTTTGCAACTCACAAGTTTCTTGCATGTTTGGGCAGGATCACCAAGGCAGCTTGTTCCCAGGTGCCGTGGACGTCTTGATTCTATCGCTTGCCACTGCGTAAGTGGCCAACCTGTCCAAGTCTGCCTCTTCGATCCAGGGAAGTTTCTCAGCGAGATCTGGCTGACCCTCATCAGGATTCAGACGAATGTCAATCGAAGCTACTGAATGGAATGCTAGGCCGGCGCTTTGGAACCATGGTTCTGCGGCCAATACGTGCCAACTTCCTTCCGGTTCAATGTGGCCCTTTTGCACAGTTCTCCTGATTACGAATCGCTGCCAGAATCAGCGGAACGTGAGGTTGAGGAAAGCACAAGGGTGGCCACCAGGCCATCGAGTCCTAGCACAGAACCAGCTTTCGATTCCTGGCCGACCCCGCCTCTGCCCTAGATGCCGGAGACACCATGCGGATCAACAAGCCTTAGGAGATTTGCTTCACGGGACATGTGTTTCGATATATTGCCACTTGTTGCCTGGACTTGCTTTGCCTGAGTATGACAGCTGACAGCCTTGGACGGACATCTCTGGGTGTCGACAAAGGCCCAGTCCTACAACAAACACTGCTCGACGAAACTGCACTTGAAGCACAATGTCATTGGTGTTGAAACACCCACTCTGGCCAAAGGGACAGAAAAGTGGAGCATCCCAAGGCAGCTCGGAAGTGTGGCATCGGCGTCAACTTCGGGAATGCAGACATTGGCTGGAACAAACTTCCCGCTTGGTTGCGGGAAGCTGCATTTTTATCTGGGCTTGCAAAGAGCGATGGCCACGTCGCTTACCCTGCGAATGGGACCTGATTCGTTCCTGTAGTAATTGCAGTACCATAACATATATAAGTAGTATGACTGCAACAAACAGCTTGACATAGCGACGCTCTACTGATCGGCATTTCGTTCTACAAGTACCGGCAAGCAAGATGAGGCTGCTGCCTTTGGACTTCCTGCACCCCTGCTTCCGCACGGGCCGCCAACCTGATGACTTGCCATCGACTTACCGGAGCGAGTCCAGTGCTGAATATTTGCAATGCCTTAAAACAGTGTCCTGGGACCCCCGCCCATCGACCTCTTTCTGCAGCTGAACTAGGCTCCAGAGAAGCCAGAGTAGCGTGCCTGATGCATCCGGAGTATCATGCTTCTTGGCCTTACGACATGAAGCGCACTATGCTGGACATTGCTGAAGACCGAGCCTAAGTCCGGGCTGTCGAAGTGCTTCTAGTAGGCATTGCTGAGCCCAGGGCCAAAAGCGGCACACGCTGCAGAAGAACCAACCGCTGCGACGAGGCAATTTGGACTCGGTGCCCGACACCTTAAGAGAAGAACAAAGTCTAGTCTACGGAAAGACGGCAAAGATGCGGGCAAAGATGGTTCTGCCATGCATCGAGAGTGGCACTCGAAGAAAAGTACAACTTTCCACGTCTTTAAGCCTCTTCAATTGCACCGAGGACCTCCACATGAACATCTTGACTCGGGAAATTTTTCGCTTCTGCTGAAACCCATCGAACCTGCCCAGACTTGTAAAATGCTAAGTCCTGTAGGCAAAGGCAGCAAAGACCGCGGCCATGTTCCAGGTTTAGCTTGACGGCGTGAGCCGCGGGCCATCAGGTAGACATCCGTCCGACAAGGAGGTTATATCGGCGACTCACGCGCACATGGAACAGTCGTTCTGCCTAGAGCCTAGGACAGGTAGTAGATTTTGAGGACAGCTGGCTGTATGAGCCACAAGTACGAGGAGCGGCACCTAAATAACATCTTTCCCAGCATGCAGCAGACGACTGCGCAACGGAATGACTGGACGATCACATCTTCCACTGGTGCGCAATCAAGCTTATTCTCACTGCATCTTCGGCAGGCATTCGTTTGAAAAGCAAAGCATGTGCTTGTTGCTGGATGAATCTGCGGTGACTCTGCTGATGCCGTGCTCAGGCCGGTGCAGAACCTCTATTTCTATCTATGCCGAGCATGAAGGGCCCTTTTGATGCTGGCTCAAGTCCGAGCGAGCACAGCAGGTCATGCATTCTCAAAAGGCAGAACTGCCCTCGTTCCCGCTCGAGAAGCCACCCTGCACGCGCCGAGAGAGCGTCGGAATCGGCACAGCAATGCAGTTACCGTTAAGCTTTAAAATCCGCTGAGCAATGGCATGGCCCTGAAGAAGACACGCCTCTAGAAGCGGCCGCTGCACCCCGGCCGCACCGTTTGGAACAGGTGCGAGGAGTGTACCTGCGACCTCCCACAGTCTCTTTGTGTTATTGGAATGATACGTCGTTACCAGAAGTCCCTGTGATTGCTGCAGCGAAGCAGTTCGCAGTCTGTATTAAGCCTTCGAACACACAAGTAGTACACGGACCAATCTGATCGTCCACGCATGTTTCGCTTGGAACATCTTCGTCGGATCTGTCCTGCAGCAAGCCGAAGAGCATCGCGCACCTGCCAAGTTGACAAAGCCTGAGCCTATAGCTGTGCTCTAGAGGAAAACTTGCACAGTACTTGCACAAAGAGAAAACGTCAGCTGCAGCTCACACTCTTGCTAGCTATGATGTTTGACCAAATTGTGAAGGTGCAGGAGCGATCACACAAGCGTTTGAAGCTGTGCTACCCGAACCCCGAACCGCCCCGGTTCGGCGCCCGATTCCCGGCCTGAGCGCCAGAAACGCCATGCTCGCAACAACCACGAGGATGTTGCAGCCAGCTATGAAGGTGGCCTCGTTGTCTTACCGAGCAAGATCTAGTGAATCTAGTTATCGAGCTGAGCAGATTCCGTCCCGCAGGCCAAGGGGCACCCATCTCCAGTTATTCATCCACAGGTGGTTTGCTTCGGCACGAGATGTCTGCTGTCTTTGAATTCTTTATTTTCGTCTGCCAGGCGACGTGAAAACAAGGTCTCAAGGGAATCTGCAGAGCCTTTGCGGGTTCATTTTCGAACCTTGTCACATGGGCCGCTGGAAGGGTTTGAAAGGATGTATGTCGGATCATACTGTATTAGCTGCATGTTCATCCGTTGCGATGTATGATGGCAAACGGTTGTAGAACACCTGAAATCTGGCACGGGTGACAAGATCAACAAAACGAGCTGGATCCAACATTTCACTAAAAAAGAACGCATCGAAGCCATGAAGCACGAACGTTGCTCTCTCGCTCTTTCGGGCTCGTCTACGTCATACTGCCTTATGCTTTTGCACGCGAGTCTAGCAATCCCTTACGACTTTGCTTGCCGACTTCTCGCCTCGTTCTGTCGGGGTGTCCTGCAACAACAGGGAAACCTTCCGTTAGAGCTTCCGCGTACTTCCAGCGGGCTCTTTGCTCTCACGTATGATGGTAGCGCTAATCGTTTCGATCTAGTCGCAGTTGTCTGAACGATTCCGAGGGCCACACCAGCAACTCCTGGGCTCAGCACAGTCAAGAAGATAGTCGGATAGATGCATGACGTAGCTCCGATGTAAACAGAAGCCGAGCGACGAAGAGTCCGACAATCGTGTTCAACAGGCCGACTGCCAGGAAAACTGCGGCTACCACCACACCTGGACCAGCCAAGCTCACACCCTGAGAATCTGAACCCCGACAAGCTGTCAGGCAAACCTCAATCAATTCTAACGTGACGCGGAGTAAACAGGGAGGTTCATCTGACATGCTATCAGCATCAATCTATCTCTTCTGCATCGCGGCACGTAATGGCATGTGCTGCGAACACAGCATTTCCCACTCCTCCATGGGGTGCTCGAGCCCCTTATTGTACGCTGCAGGCTATTGCCGCAGCTTCTACACTCACGACTCGTTCCGCCTCAACCCTCAGTAGACAAGCCCAAGCCCGAGGATCATCACGACGTTTCAACTTTCCAAGTGTTTCCGACGAGTTTGTTTTGCTTAACGAACTGGCACTGGATAAGGCACCTAGAGCACCGAGTTGGTACGCGTGGAACTCCACACCAGGCACCTGGAAGACACCCAAAAGGGGCAGGTTACAGGTCAGACAGCTCTCACTGTCCTCTGAAATATCTGCATATCCGGGAGGGGGGGGGCACCGCGACAATGCAGCTTCCCACCAAAGGCTTTCTTGAACCCACAGTTCATGCCTAGCTTGTGTTCTGAGAGTCATGCGGTTTGCTCCAGGCGGCGGCTCAGCGTCTGGTGCTGGGCCTGCGTTCTGACTTCCGTGCACGGCCCGGCCCGTCCATCCTCCTGAATCCGCCTGCTACGCTGGCTTGCACTTGCCTGGCAGATGATCTTGGCCCGTACTTGTGGCTTTAGTTCCATGGAGGTTACCCAGGCAGACAAACTGACACTGCAATCTTCGTATTAAGCATGTGCATGCGCACTATGAGATTGAATGAACAGATCTGAAATAGATGCATATACATACTAATAATAATAATATTATGTATATATAGATATAGATATAGATATAGATATAGATATAGATATAGATATAGATATAGATATAGATATAGATATAGACATAGATATAGATATAGATATAGATATAGATATAGATATAGATATAGATATAGATATATGTATGTGTCTATATATGTATGTACATATATATATATATATGTGTGTGTGTGTGT